TCTACTCAATGGTCAATCAAAGTCAACAGGACGAGGAATACGCTGAATGAGAGAAAACCACGAGCCTCACACGCTCAATACGAAGTCTGCTTGGTATCACATTGAATTCAAGCTTGATTAACTAGAAGAGGTGCCACTCTCTGTTCCGACTACTCGGAATAATCACATGGATTTCTTACTCTCTTACACACACACACACAAGTGCACAAGCTAATGCACACAAGTACTCATAAGAGTAAAAATGGACAAATCAAATCGATTTCGGCCAGTAGACAACTGCCAATTAACTTTCCCCACTCTCCCTCCAAGTGGTGGTATGAATTTGTCCCGTTGGGGTCTCCAGAAGAGGACTACTGATAGACGAGGAGTAATGCAGATGCTACTTACGAGGGCTGACCTCTGTGCAATAATGAGGCTAAATAACATCCGGGTGACACTCAATTTGCTTGCAATACCGCCCAATCACTGAGTGTATAAGGCTGATGCCTCAATTTGGAAGTTGAAAAGTCTGGTTAAATCTCAAATGAGTAGTTGTGAAGGCTCCAGTTGCTCAACCATCAGGACAAGGCTGGTTAGTATCTTTCAACGCCTCTCGCCCGAGCAGAGGAAGAGGAAAACAAATGACGATAGGAAGAAGAGCTAAATTAATCGAAACCAAATCAGGCAAGATGACTGACGGGCTGATGTGCCAGATGGGCGATGTAAGCAAAATGGAGCATAGCAAAAGTAGTCATGCTAAAGGTCAACATTTCGGGATTGACAATGGCTCGGATACTTGTCAGATCAGCAGTCTATTTGATCGGAAGTGACCCAGGCAACTTGAGGCCAATTTGGCATATCGTAACAAACAATCAGAGGCAAAGGCAAAAAGCTTGGGCTGGGTGAAGTGGGAAGAGGTGGTGGTCTGAGCATACAAGTGGACCTCAAGCGAAGCAGGTCACTAGGCGCCAGGATACCAATTTCGCAGAGTCTGTGAGAAGGCTTGACTTCTCTGAGCCTCCGAATGCTGAATCGCCTACCAGAACCCACGAAACGAGGGCGATAGTTTCGAGGCACTGGCATTCTCACGCACACCCAAGTGAGGTAAGTACAGGGGTAAAGCATCTTAGCACTGTTGTCCTGGAGCCTGGAGGTGGATGCTGGATAGGACTGCGAAAATATTGCACATTGGCAGAAAAGAAGGCATTGTGAACCTGATGCACTGAACTGCAGTCAAAAATTGAGCAAAAAAAGACGGGATAGGACGATTGGCCTACGGCAGAATACAGAAAAACTCCAACAGCATCAACATCCTCCTTACGAGAGTGGCCAGTGAAGAAAATGTCTCTGTCGGATGGAAGACAGCGATTCAACAAAACTCGACTTCTTCTACACATTTGTGCATCTCATCCACCTCAATCCTCAATCAAGACGTCCGTACAAGCATCTCCCCTTAAAATCCTTTAAAAGGAATGTCTTTTCCCTTTGCCGTTAATGGTCTCGAGTGTGTTAGGGCTTAGTTGAAGGCCAGTTGCTAGCCTATTCCGAGCAAGCACAAGTTCAGAGGCAACCAGGATACGGTAGGATTCATAAGAGGTCGCTCCTCTTTATACACACCTTACCTCAAAGATACGCTGTCCGTGACAATTTACGTCTCTTTCAGGCCTCTCCTCTTCTCTGAGTCCTCCAGGAACTATGATTCAGCAGCTGGAATAACGTCTCAACTTATCAGAGTCGGTCGGTTCTGGCAAACAGCTGTATTGCCTCTACTTTGTGAATAGGAAGAGAAGATAAAGTTAATCGAGTTAATAGAGAGCAGAGGTTGGGTTGTAACATCTCGAGAGCATTGCATACACGCACACAAACACACACAAATACGCGTCAACATTGTAGAATAAAACACATGTATGTTTGTGCAGGGAAACAGCTGTACCACACCCGCATACACAACATTCATGGCACATCCTTTTCATGCATCAACTTTACTAACTGTTTCCGGGCGAATATCGCATTAATCACCGTTGCGCCACTCGCATTCATACAAGCTCTCCCTATCGCCCCAAACTAAAACAGCTCCACGTACCGGCATCTCCCGAGGCTTGCAGAAAATCCTGAAGAATCATTCGCCTTGAATAGTAGAGCCCAGCCAATCCACTTGATCTGTGAGGATGATTGAGTAGGAAAAAGATGCAGTGGCCAACCGAATATTCTGCAACCCACTTTGCGCGCTGCCTCCATTCGCCACAGTCGGAAAGCTACGAACCTCGCCTCAAAGTTGAAATGCGCTTGTCATTCCAACTTTTGTACAGTACAGACCAAAAGTCACCCTGTTGCCCGATCACCTGGTCGACTGGCTGGGAGGCATTCGTAGGCTGGATTCAAGCATGCTCCGAGTCGTTCTCAAATCAGGCCCGTGGCATGAAACTCTAAAGCTGGGCACGCGGCCATGCCTATCTCGAATCAAGAACAAGTTGGTGCTGGCAATAGGCAGAGTCAAATCAACGAACCAGAAAAGGGAGATCCCGAGCCTCGGTTGCCGGTGAGACAGAGCAACCAATCTTTTCGGGGCAACATTTCGCAGGGAATAAGAGATGCCAAGCAAGTTTCCGAAAACACCTGCAAATATGTATGCAGTTCTAAACGGTGTCCGCACTGCTAGCCCATTTCAATGTGAACATCGGAGCTAAGTGTGCGCCTACAGTCTTGTTCTAACAACATGGCCAAGAGTATCGTAAAATAGAGGCAAGTTTTGTGCAAATAGCTCATGTTCACCTGCCATGCAGAGGAAATAGGCCAAGAATAGAGGCAAGGGGCAGAATAATAGCACTAATTCAGTCGGAAAATATGACATGCAGGAGTCACTATAGCCATTCTACATGAAGAAGTGTGATTACATGCAGCCTCGTACTCTTTAACAGCCTCCTCGTCGAGTGCCTCGCCTCGGCCAGAGTAATCGGCCTTGGACGTCTTCTCGTCGCCAGAAGAAGCCAGCCTTGAGTGAGCAGAGGCTTGGTCCTCCTCTTCCGCAGGAAAGGAAGAAAGCGAATACCGATTCACTCGATTGAGGCCAATCTGGTCGCTCTCGATCGACGCGTTGGCTTTGCGGGATTTCCCGACGTCCGGCAACAAGACGACTATCGGCCGGAAAGTGAGTAGGCTCGGCAGAGACGCAATCAGGAAGATGGCGGAGAACACGAAGAGGGCTGATCGCCAGCCGAGCCCGTTGATCAGACCATTCGTTATCAGCGGCAATAGCAGATAGCCGACTCCGGCGCCAGACATGGCCAAGCCGGAGGCAAGGCCGCGAAACCGATCAAAGTAGAAGTTGACCACAACGATGGCACAGAGGAATAGGGCACCGAGGCCAGAGCCTGCGAGGAAAAGAATATGCTTATTGGCACAAGTATACAGACAGAATGGGAGAGATGGGCAAATAAACAAATGGGTATGCGAGCAAGAACGGCAAAAGACATAGTATAAGCATCTATCGTAGACAGACCGACAGATAGACAGAGAAGTCAATATATAGATAGACAGACAGAAAGACAGGGAGAAAGAGGGACAAAAAAACAGAAGGACAAACAGAGAGATAGATAATTTTCGTTTAACTAGAGTTTAGAGACCGATAGATGGACTGAGAGACATAAATAAAGACAGACAGAGAGAAAGGCATATATACGAACATACAGGTAGATATATACCTCGATAGACGCATGGATAGACAAACAGAAATAAAGAAAGACAGACAGATAGACACATAGATAGAGACAGAAATACAGATAGATAGAGAGAAATAGTGACTGACAGACAAAGAGAAAGACAGATAAAGAGATAGGCATGCAGACAAGCAGTTAGATAGATAGAAACAGGGAGACCATAAAGACAGAAATACAAACAGAGAGATAGATAATTTTCGTATAAGCAGAGTTTAGAGACCGATAGATGGACTGAGAGAGACATAAATACAGACAGACATATATATAGACAGAGATAGAGACAGACAGAGAGAAAAGGCATATATACAAACATACAGGTAGATAGACCCATCGATAGACACATGGATATACAAACAGAAAAAAATAAAGGCAGACAGATACACATAGAGAGACAGAAATACAGACAGATAGAGAGAGTGACATACAGATAGCGAAAAATATTGACTGACAGACAAAGATAAAGACAGATAAAGAGATATACATGCAGACAAGCAGGTAGATAGATAGACACATAGAGATACACAAAGACAGAAAGACAGAGTTCGATAATTTTCGTATAAGTAGAGTTTCGAGACAGATAGATGGACTGAGAGAGACATAAATACCAACAAACAGACATATAGATAGACAGAGAGATAGAGACAGACAGAGAGAACGGCGTATAGGCAATCATACATGTAAATAGACACATGGATAGATAGATAGACAGACAGATGGATAGACGCATAGATAGATATAGAAAGACATACAGCAGATAAAAAGACAGACAAAAAGATAGAGATGTAGACGAACAGATAGATACATAGACACATATAGAGATACATAAAGACAGAAAGACAAACAGAGAGATAGATAATTTTCGTATAAATAGAGTTTCGAGACAGATAGATGGACTAAGAGAGACATAAATACCGACAGACAAACTTATAGATAGACTGAGAGATAAAGAGACACAGTGAAAGGCATATAGACAAACAGACATGTAGATAGACACATGGATAGACAGAGAGACAGATGGATATATAGACACATAGATAGATATAGAAAGAGAGATAGACAGAGAAAAAGAGTGGCATACAGAAAGAAATAGATATGCAGACAAACAGACCTATAGATAGACAGACAGGCAGGAAGAAAGTTAGACAGACGCGTAGACAGAGAGATTGACTGGCAGACAGACAGACAGAAAGAAAGACAAAGATGAAGGCATACAAAGAGACAGATAGATAGGCACATAGATATACATAAAGACGGACAGAGAAGACAGACAGACCGACGGATGGATAGATAGGTAGATTGACTGATTGATAGAAAATAAGACAATCAACAACACGGGCATTCCTCTTGACCAGCTGTCGATTGGCTTTACTGGAACATTCTTGTTGGCGCTGCTTCCGAAGTTACCTTCTTCGATTTCGAACTACCTCAAAGCAGAGAGGGTATCATCCAAACTACCATATTTAAGCAAACAGACAGACATATAGATGGATAGATAGGTAGATTGAGTGATTGATAGAAAAACAGACACTAATAGATTCAGAAATAGAAATGGCAAACGGCCAAAAACAAACTACATGAGATGCATGCGAGATGTAGTCAGCCTACTTCATTTAATGTGATGAGTAGAGCTGACGCTTCAATTGAATTTCACATGGCCTTGCTTTCCCTAAAGGTCTTCCCATCCCGGCTAAAGAGGACTGTAGTTTCGACGTCGTCTAGGTCTTATCAACTGCCACAGCGCGACTCGAACCGTGACAGTGCAGGGCGTTATCTCCATATGTTTACCACTATGCCAGATTGTCACGAACACCATCTAGTCACAGGGTAGATGTGCGTTTTAAAGGAGGCCAGGCATTTTCCCATATCACACTCTTTGGTGGGATTATCGATGAGGCAAAGTTGTTTTGCCATAGCAATCGACTGCAATACTTATTCTTCGTTTCTAAATAGGCTTTTGATACTACCACAAAATCTGATGTATTCACCCTATTGTGTTTAAGGTGGTGAAAGAGGGCTAGTTGAATTCTGATGTTTCCTCTTCCAAAGGCAAATTGTTTTTATCAAATCTCGATTCAAATCAGACTTGTAGTGAAAACAAGGCAAAGTCCCGTCAATGCGAGGAAAAGTTAGCTTTCGAGAAATCGCTTGGTTCACAAGTAATGATGAGCTTATTTCCATTTAGAGCAAAAGTGTTTGGCGAAATGATTAAAATGTCGATCACACCAGAAGACGAAGATGCATTCCTCTTGACCAACTGTCGATTGGTTTTACCGGAACATTCTTGTTGGCGCTCTTTCCGAAGCTACCTCCTTTGATTTCGAACAACCTCAAAGCAGAGAGGGTATCATCCAAACTACCATATTTAAGCAAACTAGTCAACAGAAGTCATCATCTCATCCCTAAATGCTATGTGTATGGCCTATCTCCAAGGCCTTTGATGAACGATATAATGTTTTGGTTAGTTCAAATCATATATAAACCTGGAAGCATGTGAATGTTTCTGTGTGTGTTTATGTGCCATCACGTGTTAGTATATATAAGAAAGCATGAGTGATGGCTCAAAGGTTTAATGTCAACAACAAAGTCGGACACACGCTTGGATATGTTGATGAGCGTTTTGTCTTCATTCGAAAGAAAAAAGAATAGACCATAAAGTGCATAAAAAGAGAACGAAGTTAAATTTTCCCACAATAATAGGTGTAGAGCTAAAGTTTCCATTTTCATATAGCATATCGTTGTGAGAAAAGTTAACTACCAGTCCTGAATCCTCCTAAACGAAATAGGGGGAATACATCTCAAATAAACGATTTACTGGTAGTCTTGAAAATAAGCTTATAAACTAAAAATACCAAAATCAGGAAAAAAGGCAAATTTAAGACCACTCAATCTCATTTCCAATTGCTGCCGTCTGTCTGCTGACTCTGTTTTCAAACCCAACGGCCTCTACAGGAGATTTTATGCTGATCCAACCTTTGTCGAATGAAACGAAAAGTCTCTCCAACATAAAAGCGATCTCACGACCACATTATGTTATAGCAACCTGATCTGGATAATTTGGCAATTTTCTTTCTAAAAGTCGACATAACTGAGCACTATTTCAGGGTTTCCCTGAAAACCATTTTTATTCTCCACTTTTTTATGAGCCCGCCCATCTTCTTTGGTAAAATGCAAGAAGGCAAGGATAAAACATGGAAAAGGTCTCCTTATCTCTCCCTACATATTAACCATTAAAAAAGATATTCTTTATTAGGCTAATTTTATTGACCTGGGGGATAATTATTTCCAAGAAATATTAGTTTGAGCCGATCCAATTTATTATCACAATGGTCTATATCGGCTAGTCTTATGCTACGTATAGCAATAGATTTTAAAACGCCAACCTGTGTCTTGTAACTATGGTTGGAGAAGAAATTAAGGGTAAGCCCAGCGACTTTTGGCTTCCTATATACACACCTGCTTAACTTCTCTCCTGCTCGAATCACTAAACCATCCAAAAATAGCAAATAATTATCCTTCTCTTTCTTCATAGTTAACTGAACGTTACAATCAATTACGTTAATTAAGGATAATAAATTGTCGAAATTATCTTTACCATGTTGCCATATGGCAAAGTAGACATGCTTCCATTCTTGAAATGTAATTGATCGCCAAAATGGGAGCCAAACAAGATTCCATTGCCTGGCCTCGCACTTGCACCTATTGTTGAAGGTGAATTATGTCCTACTGATTAAGCCTTTGCTTAGATTTGCTCCCTCAATAATAGCTGGGTGTTCTTGCAGGCTGAGTGTTAATATTTCAATATCCTTCTCGACAAATCTATATGAATCGTGAAATACTATGCATCACACTCCCCTTATTATTATCAACTGCCTCCTTGTGTTTCTTTGGAAGGCCGTAAACTGAAGGTGCCTTAACTTCCCTTTGAAGAATTGAATTCATTTTCCACTTCTCAATTTATCCTTTGCTTAAAAAACATTCGGCGAGTCCCTTAATCTGGCATTGAGATTATTTGTGGTATCCTTTGCTAAATGATTGTATGATTCTCAGTCAATTAAATTAATCATAATTTTTCTATATGCCTTGCCTTATACATGATGACTACTGCACCACATTAATCTGCCTTCAAACCAAATAGCTCATTTTCGTGCGAATATCTAAAAATCTTATTTAAGTTCTAAGATTTCTTTGGATTAATTACCTGGTAAAAATGAGTGTTCCTTTCTCTTTTTATTATATTCTTAGCCTCTTCTGACATTTTGTATGTCATGTTAATTAATCCAATCAGCTTAACATTAACATCAATAGGAACACTGGATAACTTAATTACCTCATATTTGCCAGAAAAAATAGCATTACATTTATTAATCTATTTATTTATTGTCAATACTATTGCTTGAGTTGATTTTAATGTCTAGCCTCCTTAATTTTTTATCATGCCGGCAGCTGTGAATCTTATCCATCATTTCCGCTAAACTATCCGCCCTATTCTGTGATTTGGAAAAGTCTTGTGAAAATAGCAGAGAAAGGTCTTGTCTAGTCCTGGTTGGGGCTCGAATCAGGTCATATAATTTGTCTATCCTTTCTTTTAGTCTATTATCTTGGTTAACCTGATAGATATGTAGCCAACTGCTCATTCTGTGAACTGTGGCATATCGCAGTTCTGAACATGCTGATTTTGACTATTTCTCTACTTCTCAAAGCAAAGTCAAAAATCATCATGAATGCTTGGTATCACTTGATGGGCCCTTGCAGATGCACTTCCACATGCCCTAGTTACTGGTCGAGAAGCCCTCCTTAAAAGGAGATTGTTGCTGAGCTTTGAGATTCGATCCAGCGGTTGAAGATAATATGCACGACATAACTTGACAGCAGCAATCATTATCGTTGCAACGAGAAGTGTAAAAAAGAAGTCTTCAAAAGTATTTACCTTTCCATACTCGAGTTGCGGGCTTTAATAATTTTCCCATTTTCTGAGTAATACGACCTAATGTAAAGAAATACTTTCCGCACAAGCCTACTTCCTCTCGGAGTGTTGGGTAGACAATCCAACTTGTCATTTTATGTCCACAAGAAAGACTCTCGCATTTGCAATGCACCATTACGTCTTGCAATCAAGTCTCTCAGCAATCAAAAGAAGAAAGCCATTTATCCTCCCTATTCCCGCCTCATTATCAATCCCTTCCTGACCTAAGTTAGTCAACCGGCAGGCTAAGAGTAAGGAGAGTAGTCTAGACCAAATGGTTGGGGAATAAATTGTATTATCAACTAGTCTTGTGCCATCTCGCATCGATCCATCGTTTACAACTGCGACACGAAAAAGAAATATGACTTAATACCATGGAAGAAGTCGGCACAGAATGTGAAAATTATCTCAACTATGAGATAAGAGCCGGCAGAAGCGACCGATGTAGGTGATGGTGATTTGAGCAACCAGAGAAGTGGTATGAAGCAGAGGCCAGTGCGAAATATGTTAAAATAATGCCTGTAAAACTTTGGTGATGAATTGGGCGCATTATTCTGCGTGCGTAGTGTGGAACATCATCCATTCTCCGAAAAGGTTACACAATTTGAGCTATCATCAATTTAGTAGCAATTGGTATAAATGCAACAATCATGCGCTAATTGACTGGCAGTAAACACAAAAGCGAGTAGCTCATCTCAGAATCGTAGACAAGCCAGGAAACGTAACTCACCAGACAGAAATCCAAAGAAAAGGCTGAATAGATGCAGATTGCTAAGGTGGGAGGAGACTGCCATTCCACCGGCGCCAAGAAGACTGCCAAGAAAAGCGACTTTGCGAAAGCCATATTTGTTGATGAGCGGACTGACCAGAACGCCTGAAGGGTGCGAGATGGAAAGTGGGAATCACATGCAATAGGATATCATTGGGCAATAGAATGAAAGTAATGAGGAAAAATGGGAGAGAGATAGAGAAAGAGAAACAAGCTAAATAAAAAGGGGCACGCCATTCCCGGAAAAGTAAAGCAATGCAGGATGGGAAGAACTCACAAAGGATACATTTCGCAGTGCCTGCAAATCATGAAAATGGAAGACGCCATAATTCTAGAACATCTCAACGTGAATTATATCAAATATGTCCTTAGCAGACAGACATAACAAGTCCACAAACCTGTAATATTAAGCCGAGTTCAATTTGGAGTGAAAGTGTTTAGTAAAGAGATTTTAAAGTCGATCTAGGGCACACTTGTTGAGGATGTTGCCAAAGAAATCTCCTTCGATTCGTATGAAAAAGTGATAGGATTTCCTGCATCGCATGACGGAGATATATGAATAATCCTATTTCACTAGATTTTCCTACTCCGAATGAATAGTATCGCTAAGATTTCGCTGTCATTCAGCCATGGCCGTAAAGGCAGATGAGTCGACCGAGGCGGAACAGCGAACCAAAAGTCTGCTGCTGCTCATCTATCCCTCACACATCAAACCATCACACTTCACCTCCGATTGCCGACACGCGCATGAACGAAGGTTCATTTCTTTAGTACTGCCTCCACGAGCCAGTAGGCTACACAATGTACGTGTAGGTATGAATCCTAAGCGGGTGTAGTCGCAATCTCCTGTTTCTTGCATACAATCTGTCCGACCTTGTTTGTCTCATGTTGTCATGGCGACCTCAAGAGTGAGGTCAAGCCTCCTCCCCTGCCTTGCTGGTCAGGTGAAGTGTTGTCATAGCCATGATGTGGGATTGATGGAAGTACCAGGACTAGGGTCATCGGCCAGGTAGCCCTCGGGAGTAATTAAATAATTGGAAAGAAAACTCCTCTCTTCAGCCCCAATTATGATAAGGCTCAATTAGAGAAAAAGAAATTACCACGTACCCGAGAGCAAAAAAAAGCAGGGCTGCAGAGCTCCAGGCATAGTCATCTGCCCACGAGTATAATTGCCCACCGAAAACTCGCTGTCATTCAGCATGGACACGTAGAAGATGCCGTAGCAGCTGAAGGTGCCATCGATCAGCAGCTGGGCCATAAAAGATGCCATCAGGATCATCCAAGCCCATCCGCGATCACGTTGCTGAGATACGAAGGTGGCAGGAGGAAACGGAGAAAAAGGAGGTAATGGTTTGTCGCGGCACTTGGATATAATCAACCTGAACGACGTGACTTTCCATTTCGAAGGAAAAGTCGGTTGGAAGGTATCCGTGAAACTAAAGGAAGAATCCGCGTCAATTGTGCTAAGAAGTCCCTGGCTCAGCGTCCTGCGACCCCGATGTAACTGTGCTGAGCTTTCGTCTAAACTGTGACACGTCAGCAGAACAGGCATCTACACTTCACGACATACATACATAACTTCGCTGCAAATTTTCGTGCTCATGTGGTAAGGTCTATGCGGGGGGGACCTACCGACCCATCAGGAAGAGACTATGCGAACACAAAACAGCTTGTCAAGGTGTATGGGTCCAAGAGTATGGGCTCGTTGAACACATGGTTGATAAAAAACACTCAATCAACTGGGCGAAATCACACCGTTTTGTGGGTTGCGGGAACTTGACATCAAAGCGTAAGATTAGAGTCTTGAGAACTTAGCAAAATAGCCAACGTCCTGAATATGAGGAAGGGGTGCATAAAAGGGAGTAGCAACTATTTGTGGCTATTGTATAGGCTTAAAGAGAGAGAGGAGTCCAGCAATAGTCAGTTAACAATAGGAGGCTGGATTAGCCTCGAATCTAGCTACTACCATCACACCTCTCATGACATGAACATTACATACACACAAGAGACAGTAACACAAACGCAAATATTAATAAACATTCGAGGATTGAATCCTAAGTTGCTTGTGTAAAAAACAATTGCAACCGATCGCACTAACAGTTCGCGAAGGAACTTTACTCATTTTCAAGCATGGAGGATATATAAAAAATGTTATCGCGAATGATTCATCGAAACACAATCGGTATTTGTATGAAATGAAAAGATCGAAGAGTACGCTAAACGTAAGCAAACTGACACCAACTCGTGCACAAGCGATAGACTTGAAGAAAGAGATGTCGAGTCTCTGCCGATGGCCGTGCCATTGAATATCGTCACACTTTGCAAAGATCTGATTTCAAACAAAATACTCATTACCTCAACCAGACGCGAGTGGGTTAGTATGAAATCACAGAGATGCCTTAACCTGAGACAAATACTAAAGTAATCGCTGTCTTAACTGCTCGGAACGATCATTGGGCCTTTTCTACACGCACGCATATCCTCCGCCACCCCTCCACACACACACACTGGCACAGACATGCACACAAGCATACACACCCGCAAACACACACACATACAAATGTGTACAAGCTCAGAGTAAGCTTAAAAGAGTCCAACTCAAGGCTTCCATACCTCGTGAGAATTTAATTTTATGTTATTATGTATGGCGGTTAGAGGCAAGCCAGTTAATGCTTTGACGGTCTAAACTCGAACTGGTCGTGGGAATGAAAGCCAGATTTGGTGACGTCTGGCAAGGGAGAAGCTGACAGAAGCTGCGCACGCTTCCGCCCCAACCGAAGGGAGAGTAGCGCGACAACCCGATTGCTTGAGTAGAACTAAACGACAACAGATCGAGGATGGTCCGCCGTTGTCTTCTGATGGGATCGGCCTACAAAGCACTCTTTCAAAACCAAATTGACGTAAGCTAAAAAGGAGTATACTTTTTATAATATTCCCAATAAAGCGCGAGCAATCATTTACGGCTCTGTTGAGACTCGATGCATGAAACTTGATATGATATAATACAATTATATAAATGCATGTTGTAAATGTATTCCTTTATTTATACGCATATACGAGTGTGCGTGGAATGCCTCATTAAGATTGCGAATTTTTGTGTATACAAAAGA